AATTTTATATACCGATATTAATCTATATTTTATTATTAATATCAATATATAAAATTTTTATAATGTACTGATATTTTAATATATCGATATTTTTTTCCAAAAACATCTATATCAGTATATAGAGGTTTGACTGTATTTTTGAATTGTAATTAAAGAAACTGAATCTAATGTTTTAAGAATAATTTATTATAATCTAACCTATGTGTAATTATAATAGTATTATATATTTATTTTGCTATACCTTAATATATCTTTATATAATTCAATTTATAATAATATTTAAGTTAAAATATATAAACAATAAAAGAATTATTCTTATAAATTTGTCATTTTTCAATTTCAATTTTATAATTAATTTTGGATAAATCTAACTTAATATAGCTTTATCAATATTGAAAATATTGAAATTCTAATCCAAGATTCTTAAAGCATAGATATAATTTATTTATTTTATGAATTAAATTTTCAATTTTATATATAATAAAATTTTTTTGCATTTTAAATTTGTTCTATTTTTACTATAGTAAAGTTCCTATTATAAAGATTTTATATTATAGTAAAAGTAATAATTAATCTATATTATAGATATAGTAATAAAATACTAAAAATGTGATGTTTTCATATTTGTATTCTATTTAGAAAACTTCTTGAATATAACCCTAAATTCTTCTTCAAAAATAAATTTATCCATATAATTGAAAGAGTATATAAAGATAGGAGTAGGGATTGGCATTCTTGATACTTATTATAAGGTAAAAGTCTTATCAATAGGTAACACTGCGATAGATCCTAATTCAACATCAGCCAAATGCAGATTGCAATATTAATTTACTATAGATTTTACCAGTTTGATTCTGAGAATGAATTTTATAAAATATATACATATCATATGCGTTAAAGATTACGAACTTGTAGAATATAGTGAATCTGTATAGTTACACAAGTAGTTATATGCACAGAGAACTAATTAAGTTTAAAACTTATATTAGAAAGCTAGCCTGTAATGGGCAAGTGTCGTATCGTCTGTAAGAAAATTATTTCTGATAATAAGATATGACAGGTTAATGGTAGATATCATATAACTTGAATTAAACAAAAGTTGTAAGTTACAGGTAGTTTTTAGTTGAAACACTGTGACATCTATGGTTAAATTAGAGTTTTGAAACCTGAGTTTAATTCTCAAGATGATTTTGTCGTCTGGATGTATTAACTGTATCAGACAGCTATTTTGAATTAGGTTAATAAAGACTTTTCTTTTTAGTAATTTGCCAGAATCTATCATATTGATAATATCAAAGGTTAGCTATATAGCGTCTAGAATGCATAGCTTGTCACAATGGCTAGTGATTTAGCAGTTCAGATTGATTTGAAAAATAGCAAGAAGGGGTTTATTTCTATAAACAATTGATATATAGACATATGAGTTACAGTTTCAGATACTCAGATGACTGATTACTAGAACTAATCTAAAAAAAAAGATAGGAGTATTAAATTCTTTTGTCTTGCTTGACTTACTTAGAAATAACCCATCTACAACCTCTAATTTATACTATAAATTGGCAAACTCAAAGTAGCCATTAATTTAGAAAAAATTTGAATAATAGAGAAAATAATATAATAGGTTAACAAAATATAACTAATATAGGAATTTCACAATTAACAACAATAGTTTAACTATATAATATATAATTATTATCAAATTCTATAAAAAGTAATTTATAGCTAATTAATATAGTAATTTTTCAATCAATATTGAGTAGCTTACTATCTACTTAACTCGTATCAAATTATTATTTTACAATACTAATAATTGAAAATTAGTATTAACTTAAAATTAACAAAGAATTTAGCTTTAATTAATATTTCAGAAAGAGCTCTAAAGGGTTTATAAATAGATATTTTTTTAATTAACAGTGATATTTTAAATAAGCAATTAAAATTTATTAAGAAATAAAGAATTCTGTACAATTATATTTGTTAGTATATAAAAGTTATTATTATTTATTTTGTTGGTAATAAAGATTAATTAAATTCTAATGATTATTAAAAAAGTCTTAAAAAATTATTTATAAAAAACCAATCAAGCCTTAAAGTTATTCTATTTATATTAAATTTACTAATATAAATAATTAAAATAATAATTAATTATAAATATAAAATGATTAATAATATAATTTAATTAATAATATAAGAGAAAGTTCTAGCATCTTTTGGATTTCTCACGTAATCTTTGCTTAATTTATATTTTTTATCTTTGTTGTCTTCATCATCCAACGTAATACAGTTAATATAATTTCTAATTATATATGTTATATTATATCAGCTGATCTTTTAGATTAATATTCTTCTATTATAATATGATTACTACTAATATAGTCAACTAGCATTTTTAAAATTTTGAAAAATTATCTTTAATACTTGTTCCTATAATTCTATAAGTCTTTATAAAATCACAAACTTTTTTATTTTTATTTTATTTTTTATTTATAAATATACTAGGTATATAGCATATATATATATACTATAGAAGTACTATTTGAATATTACAAAAAATTTTTTAAAAATTTTACTTTTTTTATAGGAACATAGGACAAATAGTAAATAATCTAATAAATCAAACTAGAAAACATAAAAATGATATTAAGATAGTTCTTATAAGTTATTCTATCATAATTTTATAGAAATAAAAAGTTTTATTAGGTAAGTAGACTGGTTCTAATGCAATCAGTTTAGTTAAAAATAGTTAGAGTATGCATGTTATTTGTTCAGAAAAATATAATATTTTTATAAAATTCAGCTAAAATATTAGTATAATAACTTAGTATTTAACTTAAATCTCTCTAATTCTAAGATGCTATTATAGTATTAAGATGAGTCCTCAAATTATGTATTCTAAATATTAGCTAAAATTATAGCATAATATTAACTGAAATTAATTGTAAATTTACTATATTATCTGATATCTTTTTTATATTATTTCAATACTTTAAAAGGTAATAAAATCAGCAAAAAAGTGTATTTTTATACTATATTCTCAATAACTTATCTGGTAATCAAACTGGCATAAAAGATTAATACTATTAATATAAAATCTAACATCTAAGCAGAAACAGAAGATCAATATCTTTACTAAAGAACTTAATAATCAAATAACTTAAAAATAAAAAGAAAAGAGTAATAGTTAGATTAAAAAGTGTGTAATAATTAGATTATAGGATGTAATAAACTATACTAATATAAAATTATAAATATCAAGAAAGGCTTAAAAAATAGTTAAAGCATAAAAGAGATAATTGATAAAAAAGTAGGTAGATATAAGATGACATTCAGATTATAGAGTAGTAAATAGATTATAATATAGTAATCAGATTATAGAGTAATATTAGGATTAAATAGTAGTAATTAAATTATACAGTGGTACTATAACCTATTGTAAGTAGTATATTACTATATAACTACATGTAAACTATTGTATTATAGAAAATTATTATCAAAAAATAAAGGAATTATTATTGGTATATTAATAAATTTTTTTTCTTTTCTCTTAGTAAAAATGAACTTTCACTGATATCAAAATGAAAAGAAACAAGTACTATGTTTATTATCTAGATCATTTATAAAACTTATTTTTGGTGAAGATATACATCTTACATTCTGGAATTAAATAAATGTGTAAATGGAAAAAATGGCTGGATTTTCGGATTTTAGCTGTGTAATTGACGATATTGTGATATTAAATTTCGAAATTAATACAACTCAGTATAGGAAAAATCAAGAATTTGTAAAGAACATCTTAAGAATACAGATCATGGCTACGTTTTATAACAAATTAACAACTGATAAAGGATCTTTTCCATTGATTGTATTGACATTTTCCCATTTTGTAATGATTGAGGTAAACAGAATGTTTTATTTGATTTAGTTTTATTATAAAGTTTTGCTTACAAGTTCCATTGCACTTTGTATTTGTAGCAACATGTTGGTGAAATCATAAATGATTATGAAAATCGGCCACCACCGGTACTTATACACCACCTGAGCAGATTGAAAATGTGAAGTTTATTAGTAAAAGCCAACCACTCCACATTTCAAATTATTATTGAAACAATGAGAATTTTTTTTGCATACAATATAAATTAGCTATAATAAACTTTTTAAAAATGAAATTGTTGCGCAATAGAAATAAATTTTGTCTGTATAATATGATGAATATCATGTAATTCCAGCTTATGTATTTTAATAAAGTGCTCTGGAGGCTGATTATTATTTTTACATATTTTTTTTTCATGTGGAAGGGTGCATCGGATTATAAAAATCTTAGCAGTTTCCCTGATGCATTGCGGTATTGATTATGGGAGTCATGATTTATTTTTGCCGAATACATGAAGCTATTAGATACCAATGCGCCAGAGACGAACTCAAAGTTGGCCGGAGTGCCCGACATCATTATCATTCAAAAAATTACCATGTATATATGTTACAGATCATGGTACGGTCCCAGAGGGGTTGAAATTATTTCATCTCGGGGAAGTTCTTTTATGGGAAATAATTATTACACAGTTTGTGTTGGTGGAAGCGATATATAGATCGAAGAAATTTCTGTAGATATGAGAGAAGTAATTTATTTCGGAATTCTAGTGTCGAAAAAAGATTATGGGGATGTGACGTGGTTAGCAAATATTAGAAATATTAACAATATTAGCAATTAAATAAATTAGCTGTAGATTTTTTTGGAGCAAAGAGATAATATGATGCAGGGACGCGCTTATAATGGCCTAGGATCCACGTACTCCTCCCTTAAAAGCATCATCACTTACTGTATTTCGCTTTCTAACTCCATTTACAATGACAAAGATTTGGCTTTAAGAGGCTGATGACCACCAAGAAATAACTTGGATACTCTCTGACTCATAACTTCACCGCCATGGACTGGATCAGACATGAAGCTATGGCGTCTCCAAGGTAATATATAGCAAGGGAATCACTCGCCGCCATGGACTGGATCAGACACGAGTAAATTCAGCAAAGTCATCGGATCAACTGTCGCCGCCATGGACTGGATCAGACACGAACAATTGTTAGTCATCAAACAACTCATAACTTCACCGCCATGGACTGGATCAGACATGAAGCTATGGCGTCTCCTTGGTAAACAAGGGAAGTTCTCGCCGCCAAGGACTGGACCAGACACGAGAAACTTCGGCATAGTTGTACCCTCGTTATTTTCCCAGTTAGTGTCGTATATCATAAATTTTACTCTGAATATTTTCTTTTCAAAATCTGTGCCGGAGAGTGTAATTTATTTCGGAATTCTAGTGTAGAAAAAATGTGACGTGATTAGTAAATATTAGCAATATTAGCAATTGAAATAAATTAGTTGTAGATTTTTTTTGGAGCAAAAAGATAATATGATGCAGGGACTCGCTTATAATGGCCTAGGTTCCACGTATTCCTCCCTTGAAAGCATCATCACTTATTTCGCATTCTACCTCCATTTTACTATGCATCTGAAATTAGTAATAAAGTTAAACGGTTTTTAAATTTAACCATGTGCGATCGATAATTTTTTTCTTGCGACAAAGATTTGGCTTTAAGAGGCTGATGACCACCAAGAAATAACTTGGATACCCTCTGACTCATAACTTCACCGCCATGGACTGGATCAGACACGAGAAATTTTGGCATAATTGTACCCTCGTTATTTTCCCAGTTAAGTGTCGTATATCATAAATTTTACTCTGAACAATTTCTTTTCAAAAATCTGTGCCGCGGAGAAATGAATGAAGATCAATACTAAAAAGGAATTTACTCACGTGATACAGTGATAATCACTGTGATAAGTTCACGAAAAAACGCGTTCTGCGGTATGTAAGTAGCTACTTTCTTCTGAACATAAGTTTGATTGTTAAGATTTGCGGTCATGACAGCAGTACTTAGAAGTATTAAATTCTTGGATTTTAGAGCTTCTGAGGAATATGATATCTGTACTTACTTTAAGAGGGTGGAAGCTAAATATTGGCAGCTGAAACATTACTTAAGTTTTCGTCTGAAAAACGATGATACAATTTTACCGTGGTCAGCCGTTTACGGTGAATGGAATTCCTCACTGAATTTTATATTACGAAACCATTTTAAAAAATTCCCAACCTCCATAATTTCGTTCTGCAAAGATTTGCTTGATATCTGTGAAACTTTCGAGGGTTCCACTGTACGAAAAGACTGTGAGAAGTTTTATAACGATTTCTATCAACTTAATCTTGACAAGCACGCTGAAAAGAATTCTGTCGAGAGAATTCGGTTACTCGATTCAGCAATATTTTCAGAACGTAATTATTCAGTATTCTTACAAACAGCGTTCAATAAACGAATAAGAGAAGAAGCTTCGTCGTCTGATGAAAAACGAATTCGTCACGAAGAACCTGAATTGGCTTGTATTAAATCCGTATTGTTTTTATTTTCGTTGAATTTTTCACTGTAAGACCTGCAGTATTTTTTATTTATAAATAACTGCTATCTTTTTAACTTAAGTAGAGTCGAGAGGAAGACAAGCAAGAGAAGATCGAAAATGATGAGATTCTCAATTCTCCGCGTGTTGTAACTCTTCATATTGCCACTCCAGCTTCTCCGACTCCTCAATTTACACAGGCTCAACGCAACGATCTTGAATATGATAATGATGTTGATGAGACAGAGGAACTTCTACCTCTCGATGTTCGTTATCTTTGATTATAAACTCCGTGTAATATTTTGGCTATTATGCAAAATTAATTATTGAAATTTTTTTTAGCATATTGAAGATAGTTGGATAACAAAAAAACTAGCCAAAGTTAAAAAGGGAATTGCGAGATACAACATAATTTTTTTACCGGAATGTAACAGAAATGATCAATTAAGGTCCAAGTTTTCCGATGACGAATGGTCAGATTTTGAGGAATTTTTTTTTAAAGTAATGGATTTTTATATTAATATTACGTATACAATTTTGGTGATACCTAATGTTATATTTCGTGCATTGTAGAAAGAGGAAGAAATCGCAAAAAAAGTCTTCCCATCACTTAGCAAAGTGGAAATTATCTTAAATAGGTACCGGGAAGCCATAATAAATGCAAGTGAGGACGGATACATCGATTTAGATAGAATTGATGTTATCTACGATTATCCGAATGGATATAAATTTAGAAAAAATTGGCTTGAAAGATGGGTAGATAATGTCTACCAAAAATTGTGAGTTCTTGTTATTTACCGTCACAATTATAGGTTATTATATTAATTTATTTTAACTTCTTGCTTGAAGCTTGACATGCTTTCACATACCTAAAAATGTCCTTAACGAAAGATTCACAAGCGAATACCAGTATAGAAGTTGGTTCGTAAATGCGAGGATATTTTTTTAGATTCGGCAACAATAAAAATGAAAACGTACATATTAAATATATTTTATTTTCAAATCCGAACCAATAGACAAAATACTAACATTATTATATTTTGTGTTTCCATTAGTGGCGAAGTAGAAAACAAACATCGAAAAGTGCAACTGGATTTGTCGAAGAATCCTGGCGATCGAAAGTCTGTCGGATGGTATCATGATGGTGTACTCTCAACCAATGTTAATGGAATTGAAGTATATGTTGGGTTTTTAGAAGTTACCGGAAATGCTGTGGTAACCGATCATACTAAATTTCTGGGGGATCTGAAGAAAATGTTAAAGGCAATGCGTTTGGCTTTTCATGAGCTTCAGAAAACTTTATATAATGATGGAATTGTTGATAAAAAAGACGAAAATATAGCTGACAGTTTAGAAATTTTCGGAATTCTCGTGGATAGTAAGTCAAATTTTTTTGTGTAATTTTTATACTGAACATTCCTTTTTAAGCTACATTTTTTATAGGAAAAGATTTCTGTTTCTACACTATGCATCATCATAATGGAATATATTTGGTAGACGAAATCAACGTTTCTTTTATAATACCAGATACTCCTATACAATTGTATATGGTAAAGGAGATTATAGAAAAATTGTTAACATTTAGAGTAAGTTGTTGATTGGTAATATTATCATTAACGGATTTTTTCTAACCCATGATCTTTCATGAGTAGGCTCGTATTGAAAAATTAAACACTCGAATTAAGGAGCTTTCAAGCATTAGAATAACACGACGACCACGTCGAATAACACCTGCGGTTGATGCGACACCAAAATTATTATTTACTTAAAATTAGTAATTCTGTATACTTGTAGATCTTTTTTCTGCATGACTTTGGATAAGCTCACGTGATATATTATTCTAATCAATAATGGTACGGGAATAAATCTACATAATAAACTAGCATCATTTTTAACGTGTTCGAAAATGAGGTTTTTTATGGCTTTAAACGTTACAAAAAATAATACGTGTGTGTGAATGCAATCCAAGTCCATTATGATAAAATAATGCATGTGTAACAAAATAGAGCATCTAAAAGTTTTACCACTATTCAATGAGACCCATATTCTGAATAATATATATCAATTTCTAATCCCTTAGGATGTTCAGTATTTTCAAGAAATCTGGTCGGTAAATGTCCCAAATATTTAGAAACAATTTCACGACATAAATTTTCATATTTATTCCGACAAGTTTTAATCGCATTAAGCGTTGCATGGCATATATGGGACCTTTGCAATAGAAAAGGGGGAAACGTCCGGAAAAATCAAATTTACTTTTATATGCAAAATATGATTTTTAAGTCAGATTTAGCATTAACTCATTTTTTATTTTCCGGCCGTTTCCCCCTTTTCTATCGCAATGGTCCCATATGTCCTTTGACATATTTCCATAAAATCTTAATAGTTAAGAGACATTCCCCGTTCTGGCTAAATGCAATTTATCAATATCATAAAAATATCGTGCATAACAATGAATTTGCACTTTTAATATTATTAAGTGTTGCATTCCATTCATGCCTTTTAGAACAACGCCACAATAAAGCTGTCATGAAATTAATTTATTATTCGAAAAGATATTTTCCATTTCTACTATGTTCAATTTTTCTAGCATTTTTCAAGAGCATGTTTAGCTACACTACGACCTGCACAATAGGGACACCAAGTATTTTGATTTTTTACACTAGAGAGACAGACATTCCATTCAAGACCTTTATCAAAACGCTATAATAATGGCAAAACATTATTGATATATTTTTCAGAAAGACATTTCCATTTTTTTCATGTGCAATTTTTTGTTAATATCAGTTGTGTAAGGATTCCTATGCGAACATTTCATACACCAATTTTTTCCATGTATAACATTGCTATAAGTTGCTGCCCTTTAAAGCATTTCCACTGTAATACTTCTTTTGTAGCTTTACATTGGTTGGAAATGCATAGGCCACCTCTTTCTTTAGCAATCTTTTTAGCAATTTCAAGACGAAATGGATGATGGTCTGCACCATGTATTTCGATTTTTTATTCTATCAATTATAATTATATTATTACTATTATTTTATTATTTTATTATAATTATTATAATTATTATTATTAATTATAATATTTACCTTAAAGATCTCTTCTAAATTAATAAAAAAAAAATAAAAAAAAGAAAGAAAAAAATAAAAAAAATTGAATTACTATAATCGAAATAAAAAAAATAAATAAAATAAAATAAATAAAATAAAAAATGATGCCTAATCGTTCATTTTAAATGATGTTTTACCATTCATTTTGAACAATGTCAAATTGTTTTATTTTTGATTTCTTATCATTTTAATTATTAAAATGATTTATTTTATTTAATTAGAATGATTTTACTGACCTAAATTTTCAAGTTAAACAGGTCAGATCAGAATACAGAGGCCTACAGTAATTTACCGGATTTTTGTTACGTGAATTAGTAGATCGGTATTACAATCGCCGATTACCC